CGACTTGATCCTGACTCTTACCGGCCACCGGTTGTTGCTGTTGACCTAATTTACCAGTGAATCCGAATAAACTATTTATAAAAATATATGGTTATAAAAACGAAACAGTGGTTAACCAGCTGCAATGTAGGTATGTTATATACTGCAAAATAAAAACGCGTCACTTGAAATTGTATTATTTATTGAATTATATTCCAAAATAGATTAGTTATAAGACAGTTTTAAAGTAGAATGCATAATATAATTAAATAAGTATAACAATTATGTAAGTATAAATAAACTAAAGCTAACTAATACAATAGTATTTATGAACTAATTTTATAGCTATAGCAAACCAGTGTATACTAAAAACGCGAATAGTTTAATAATAATTTCTTGAAAAACTTTTCGTATCAAACACTGATTATTAATCAATGATGCCAATGTATCTACGTTGTAATATAGTTATGATACTATACTATTTGCCTATAAATTAAAAAAAAAATACGTTCGTTTTTTTGCCACGGCGAGTTCTTTTACACTGTTTATCTACAATATTCATGTACTAAGGATAATAAAATAAATTAATACTTGAAATGTACCAATTGTCTTTTGGTATGGGCTTGTCATTTGTGCAAGTACCGGATAATTGTTTTATTGAAGATGTAAAAATAAAAATATAATGAGTTATATAAATATATATATACATATAACATGCGTATATACTCGTATAATATGTATTTATGTATTTATAATCGATGTACGCTATATGTTTATTTAATTTTTTTTTTTTTTTTTTGGAATATATTAAATGTTTTTAAATCGATGGTGTAAGTACCGTTCGTCATAGATTAATGTGAATAAATGAAATAAATGAATAAAACAATAAGTAATTATATGAGTATAAGAATATGTCTAATTATAAACACTAAATGTTGAATTTCAGTAACACAAAACGAGAACACTTGATAGATTTACACATTAGGTGATAATATGTGATTGTATGGTAAAAATACGCAATTGCTTTCTCTAGAAAATATCCTATAATGTGATCCGAGGAATTAATCAAATATTGTTATTGTTGGGCAAATGAAACCTTTAAATGTAGAATCTTTAAAAAAAGTTAATTTTGCAAATATTCAATATGTTTACTTAATGTAAACTCCGAGAAGCCATACTAAAAAAAAAAAAAAAAATTGTGTTAATGAATTATAAACAATTACTCTTTATGTACTTGACTTTTTAAATTATAACACGATATTAAAATTAATATGACATTATTCGATTGTATTTTATTTCATATAAGGTGTTTTGTTGCTTTGAAAGATATAAATAGGAATTAAAAAAAATTCTGTAAAAATGATTTTATTTTTTTTTTTTTTTGTAGGTATATACTCGTACTATGTCAAAGTCAAATTTATAATAGTATTTATTTTTAAATAATGTTAAGTTCTGTGAAAAATAATATTATTTAACAAGAGGCATTATTATAAATTTGACTTTAACGTTGAATACACACACATACACACATATATATATATATATATATATATATAAATACATACATAAAAGTACATTTACAGATGCGCTGAGACATTTAATGCGTTGAAACGGCGTTTTATATTGTTACAAAGTTTAATTGCATTTACAATTTTTCCACGAATACATATTATTTAAGGGTCACATGAAAAATACATGGAAAGAACAATGGTTAAGTAAGTATAAGGTACATTTCCAATCCCTTGACGTCGTCAAAGGTCAGTGAGTAGCCACTGCAATGGAAACAAAAAATACCAATAATGCGATAGTATATGAGCGTATATGCATGTGTGTGTGTGTGTTGAGAGGTTGGTCGATGTTTAGGTTAGATTCGCACGCATCATGGGACCCATAAGAAAATAGGGTCAAGCTGCGTAATGGCAAAGCCATTTTCGTAGTTCAAATCGAATTTTGGATTTTCTAGGATTTTCTCCTTTTCTCTCACTCTCAGTAAACTTCTAAGACAACAATTCCATTGTTTCTTGTTTTTATTTCGAATTTTTTCCGCATACCTGTTGTACGAGCGGCATCACGTGAGTTGGGAAAAACGTCATACGCTTGCTCGACTTGTCTTCTTCACACGTTCAGTTTTTCGACGTGAGTGAACTTGTTCCGATACACACACATACACACACACACACACACACACACACACACACACACACACACACACATACGCAGAATTAACGGACATGAGTCCGATACACGGTAACAGTTAAATTATTAATGGCATTTCGAATTAACCACTGCACACCCTATAAAATTACGCTCAGCTGGAGTTATGTGGAAGTACGTGGACGAAGACTGCAGGATCTAACTGGAGGACTTCGGAGATAAAGGAAGAACAGGAGTCGACGGGCGAAGAAGATTAAAGACTGGTTCACGTGAAGTACATATAATACTGTCTATGATATACGGATTCAACATTGAAATTGTTATTATTATTATCTTATTTTTTTATCATAAAAATCTTGTTTTTTCCGAGTAAAACGAGAGAAGGGTACAAATACCACCGTAGTCTTTGGAGTGTTAATGTAAATATATATATAAGTATTGTGTTTGAGTTTTTCTTTTCTTTCTCTTTTTTCGGTTTCGTAAGTATATCTACATAGCTTTTCTTTTACCACTCTCACCCCCAATCGACCGGGTTAATGTGCACACCGTTCTCGGGGTGACCTTTTGCGTCTCTTTTCCACGCGATGCGCGTTGCTTTACCTGCCGCTCTATGTTTTTCCGCCAGACTATTGTGTACCACGCAGGTAATTTAATACCTGGCAGACAGTGACAACGGGATTTCCCTACGGTGAATCCCTCGTCCTTCCACCCAGTGATCCCGTGAGATACGCGGAACAAAGTTAGGTATTACAAACAATATCATTCATAAGTATGATAATAATAATAATAATAATAATAATATTATTATAGTTATTTATTTCATTTTTTCCTCTTCGTTTGTTTGTTCCTCGTGCTCCATGCATTTTATATGTTGTAGAGTTATAAAAGTTAGTTAAAAATTATAAAAGAGAATTAAGAAAAAAAAAATATTCAAAAATATTAACTTGTACATGACGTTACATAAAATCGTATACAATTGTTGCTTATATCATAATCACAATAATAATAATTATTATTATTGTAAAGGAGTAAAAACATGAAACAATTAATGGGGTAAAAGTTAATTAATAATAAAAATATACCAAGTTCCAACTCGTTATCTTTCACGGTTATTATTTTAATATAGTTGAAACTATTGATAAAGTTAAAATTTACCAATTTTAAAATATTACACACACAGGCAATAACAATTTTAAAATGTGCATGTATAATAATTGTATATAAATAGTGAACAAATAGTTGTTTTTACTGATTATTCGACTGCAGTTGTTTCCATATCAATCAAACAATAATAATTTGTATCGTCTTATATTATGATATATTTTATGAATGATTTATTTTTAATTATTAATACAAAATGTCATTAAAAATTTGCAATAAAGGGTATACAAATTGGATCTGGTTTTTTACGTCATTCATCAGATGATACTTATTCTAAAATTATATTTTCAACAGAATGAACAATTGTCTACTTATCTTTTAGGGACGTGGATTTGGGGTTTTAGATACCTATTTGTAAAACAAATAAACAAAGCTGTACTGTAAAAAGGTTTTCTATCGACAATTTAAAACTCAATGAATAATCCTTATTATGAATATTGAATTTTTAATGTAATTATTTTTTTTATATAAAATTGCTGTTGTAATAATGAATAATATGCGACGAATTAATGGAACCTGTCATGTTACATGAGTAAAATAACGGCAGTGTTCGGGCCGGAAACATTATTCAGATCAAATCTCTAAAACGACCTGGCGGAATATACCTAATGTCTTGCAATACGTCTGAAATATAACCAAATAGAAGTTTTTTTATCTTCCTGGTTAAAAGTTTAATACTCGGATAAACAATCTTAAACATTACATATAAAATTTACAAGTAAGCGTAATTTTATGGTAATACAAAGAATCAACCGTTGACAATGTTCCCGATATAAAATAAACAAATCCATCAAAATTATGACAAAAGTTATTGTATATATGAGTATATATATATATATACACGATGGGAACTGTAATATAAATGATAAATTATTATATAATAAGGATAATATTATAATTTGAATAAAAATAATTGTAGTTATAATAATAATAATAATAATGTATTTTATGTAAATAACTATATTACTTTAATTAGTTAATATATAATATACAAAATCAATGAATTAAACAATGTAGGTTTCACCGCATTCATATTAACTGAACTATATTTAATATTTATTTATATGTATGAGTATCAGATTTATGGTAAATTTTAGGCAAAATATAAAAAATACCCAAAAGCTTGACGGTTTTAATGTTAATACAAATTAAAAACAAACCGAGGGATCTAAGTTGTATTGTTGATAAATATTTTTATTTTTTTTATAATAAGACGTAGTTTCGTGCACTGAGAATAAAATTATTAAGGTCATCACAGTGCAACAGCTAAAAAAATGTACGAAGTTTTTCAAATTTAATTAAAACCCATATGGTTTGAAGAAAAAAAATGTAAAAACGAATAATTACATGACTGCGAAACAATAATGAATAATCTGTGTTATACAATTTCCTTTTCTAGTGGAAATGTATACATAAATGATTATTTACATTGTATAGTAATTACCAATCGAAAAAAAAAAAAAATGAAATTATAAAATAAATATATTTTATAATTTCTGAAACATTATTCTGAAATTATATTTTGCCTTAAACTTTTTATAACGTCAATATGAATTCATATAGTTATTATATGAATTGAACACTACAATTTTCTTATATACTACACTATTCATATTATACTTATACGTATGGCTATTTTCTCACATAAATTTTTAATATAATTTTACTGAACTATGTATTGTTTTATACATTTTTCATTAATGTATATGAAAATTTGATTCTACTCCATCAAATTAATATTATGGACTACATTGTTTGCGGTTAATTTTTATTTTCGATACAAGTCTAATAAGCTATGACTTTTAAGACCCAGTAGAACACAATGGCATGGAATACTGTAGAGCAAGTGTGGCTAGCAGCGTTTGGATCTGAAATCATAACGACAAATACACATTAACTTTATTTTATATGATTAATACGATTAAATACATACTTTTTTATGGTAAATTTATTTAATTATAATTTAATCATAACTATAGTAATAACAAGAATAAAATAAATAATAATGATATGTAAATCACTGGCGATGGTTCTTTTGTATAACTACTCGATAAAAGTTTATTGAACGTGGAAAACGTGTTTGTTCAAGCCGTAAAGAGTCTACTAGAAAGTATGGAAGTATTTGAAGTTCAGTAACTGAACTTGCCAACTGTTGGCATTTGAAAACTTTTTGTTTGTCTTTTATCACTTCAGAAGTTGATAATAGTTATGTGCATTAGAATTATCAAACGAATAATTTTATTTATTATAACTATCATAAATATTACATAAAATAATAATAAAAATAATAAATAATAATTTTTGTGAAAATGATAATTATTTTGTCCACTTATTGAGATATAATAATAATGTCAGCGTAAATGCACACCGAGCCAAATATAAATAAAATTATCAATAAAATTTTAGCTACGTGCTTATTGGATAACCTTCTAAATGTCTCTAGTATAAAATGTACGGGAATGAATTATAATGAAACTGCAATAATTTTAATAGAATTCAAATTAAATGTTTTCTGTTAAGTTAATTTATATATGGACATTGTTAGAAAATCAGTGCACCAGTCATCAGTATATTTGCTGGAATTTCTTTATTAAGTATAATAGGTATTTTATGAAATACTGACTGAAATTTTTATTCGTGGTTCCAGAGCTAATTATTTTTCACCACTTTAAAAAAATAGAAAAGTTCATAAAAAAAAGTTGTAAGTATCTATAAAAGGAAATTTTTACAGTTACGACGTATAACTTCACTAAATCAGGTTTTTATTACAAATATTTTAGTTGCTATTCAAATGATAGCTATTAATAAAACAGTTGAATGAAACAAAAATTAGTTAATGATGAATAATTGTTAATGAATATATAAATAAATAGTAAATATTTCGTATTAAAATCGGTTTTTTTATTTATTGTTGCAAAATCGACCTGTAAAATAGTTAACACATACTTATTGATTTTGAAGCGACAAAAAAGAGATTGGTTCAAGTTTATCTATTAAAAACGACAAAAAAGTTTCTAATAAATAGTATGAAAAAAACGATAATTTTATCGTGATACTAAAGATAATACCCAAACATATTGAAAAACCTTAGTTTTATAAAAATAATATTTATCCTTGTATCAATTGTTCTGCTGATTTAAATACTTCTGTGACTATGACAATACGGAATAATATGATTAATTGATACATTTTTATGTATGTATTGTACACATTACAATTAATAGTAATAGAAATCTACAAAATATTTTATTTTTCACTATTACAGCTTATTATTTTCAGTTCACCGCAATTTTGCCTTCGTGATATACAATTTGTCTTAATAAAATCGAACAGTTATTGCAAATTAACAGGTTAGGTTAGAATTTAATTTTTCATAAAACGTTAATTGTAAGCCACAAGAGAACGTACAGAATTATGAACGTGAATATTTCCCGTAAAAATATATGTATCGTATAGACATTGCGTCGGGAGAGAAGGCGTTTCGAATCTCGAAAATTTCGAAAATCAACCAAATATTTCTCAAAACGTTACCATAATAGGAACATAGTAATAAGTATATGATTTAGACGACCGTTTAAACTCGGGGAGACAATCAACTTATGGCACGCTGCCAGTCGAATACTCCTTGCTACACGCCTGCACGGTTAACTGACCGTGAACCGATATTACTTTCTGCAGAAATAATATGGCTGATAGCCGAAACAATAATACCGAAACGTAAATAATACAATGTGTAATACATTTGCGCCGCCGTGAAGTTGCTTTCGCGTAAAGATAAGGCGATTCAAGTGCAATTGCGGTCGTCGCACTAGATAAAACGCACTTCTCAGGCGTGGAAAAGGAGTGAGTAGTATTGTTATGTTGCGCTCACACACACTACCAGTTGCATTTCACACACATCGCACAAATTAATGAAGTTCAGTTCAAACTTTAGCGATATTGCACCTTGCATTCAAGATTTCGCTTTTGCTCCGTTTACATTATGTATTGTTATTGATTAGATTAGTAATTGACTATTAAATGACAGTTTTAAGCAGAAATATATATTTACATGCATCGATTAAAAAAAAAAAAAAAAAAAAATTAAAAATCAACGAATAAAAAATAAACAATCCGTAAAACTATAATAGGCTGATTGGTTTTTTTTTTTTTATATGATTCTAAAATATATGTGTAGAAAATTGAAACAGTATTGTATTTGCATTCAGTATGTTGCGTTTATTGTTTGTGAATTGAATTAATTCTTTGAAATAATTTCTTTATAATGTTCTCTACAGTGTTTAAATTAAAATATTGTTTTTTCGTTTTGCCTTTGAACGTTATTAAAATGTTACGTTTGATATAATGCGAAGAAGTATAAAGTTTTGTCGATTTTCGTTGACTTATTGTTTAGGATTTATTAAAAAAAAAAAAAAAAAATTTAAAATTAAGATGAATTTCATAGGTAAAACGCAACAAAGAAATAATACAAGAAACCTTTTGTTTAAAATTCGTAACGTAATTATTTTTTTACGTCAGACAAATGTTTATTGTCTTTTAGTATATGTATATCTTAAGTTATGTTAAAGAAAATTATCTTGAATCCTGTTATCGGACATTGATCATATTTTTTTCAGATTTTTTCGTAATAACGTTACACGTAATGTTTTGGACCCCTGGTTCTTTCTCTGTAGCAATCGAAAACAACATGATAAGAAAAGCAGCTAAAAATATTCAAATCACGTTAATTTCCAGGCTGTTGATAAAATATGAGATTTTGTAATATAATTCAATGTTTTAGAATATTTAAAATAGTAATAAAGAAAAACTTCAGCTCTCTCTAATTTATAATTAGGTTGGACCCAAAAAAATATGATATTAAAATACAAGAAATTCCGACTCTGCACGGAAATGGTACCCAACGTATTTTTATCGGTAGACTGAGCTCTTAAAAAACAAAAAAAAAAAAAAAAACATGACCGAATAAACAATGATAAAAGAAACAAAAAAAAAAAAAAATAAAAATATATATATATATAATTGACTAAGGGATTTGTCAAAAAATAATAAATTTTATAACAATAGTAAGTACAAGAATAATAAGACGATACACAAAATTACATTTCTGTAACAGCAGAAGTGGTTGTTTTTAAAGGCGTGTAATGTGTAAATAATAACTAGTGAAGGTAAATTTTGTATAATTCCGATGCATAAATAAAGGACATATTGGCGGGTATAGTAGCTTTTGTTCTTGTGAGTATTTTAAATTTTATTTTCTTATTATTATATAATTTCATAGTCATAGAATACTGTATGTTCTACAATAAAGATTTTTACAATTAATTTTGCTAAAGTTTTTATGTAATTCTGATTGTATCATGATATAAATACTTTTTTATAAGAATACATATTAGTTTTGTTTTAGCCGTAAAACGTGAAAATAAATTATTTTAAGTACTATGAACAATTTTTTATAAGAGCTTTCGATATATTTCGATTACAGTGGTCACAGCCACAAATCGTGTTACGAATTGTGATTAAAAATGAGTATAACTAATTAACGTTAGAGATATAACTATTAAAATTGCTATCACGATGCAATAATTGATTGAAAGTAATTACGGGAAAATATGCTACCATATGCGTTTGTGTAGTAGGCATAAAGATGAAAGAATATTTTGGTAGCGTTCACTGAACGATGTTACCGGTTTAATGGTTCCGAGAAAGAATGAAAACTGCCGTACATTAAACAAACGCAAACAGACACGCCTTAGATTCCACTTCTAAGCATTATATATGTTTGTAAGTCTGTAGTCCAAAACTTGTTCACGCAGAGATCACAGGTTAACCTTCACACTCGGTTGATATTCTGCATACCCTTTTTCGTAGGATATTGTCAGAGAGATATAATCAAGTATTAATACAAATTGTACTTATTCCGACGATTAGTCAATGTGCAATCATTGGGCTATCGATTGTTATCACTCCTATTCACCCGCTGTTTTACACGACATTTCACATACCTACAAATTGTACGATTGAGCAGAGATAACAAGCCGGGTCAATATTACATAGACATTTTCTCCAGTAAAACTATACATGATTAACGTCAAAAATCAGGTTTACATAAATTCAAAAGTCATTTATCAAACTCGCGTTCGGAATGTCGAAATGTGCTGTTGTACAATAGTTAAAAACGATATTTCGATGTCTTTCATAACTGGGAATATCAACGTAACCTACAGGACAAGCCACTGTATACTTGACTTTATATGTGCAGTATGACGCAACATTTAACGACACGATTGTTCAGAACATTTTGAAAACTATTTGTAAATTCTATAGACTAGATAAATTGTATGTTTGATGAGTAAACACAGAAAAAACTTTTGTAAGCTAATTGCTGATGAATTTTTTTTTTTTTTTAACGTTTTCCATCAATTCCATTGACTTTTAAATTCGATAACAAAATAATGTGATGTCAGACGCACGTCGACTGCTATGCACGGATAAGTGGTTAAATCGATTCCATGCATCATTATTATTATTATTGCAATAAGCTCATTTCAATCTGTGGTTTTAATGGGAAAGATAGTAGAATATATAGTGTATACGTTATACACATTTTGGTACTTTTACGTGCCGTGGTTGGACGCGTCGTCCAATGCAATAATGAAAGAATATAATTATCCACTATGATCATATAGATTTACATATATATTTGGATCAAACACATCACACACGGTTACGGAACAATGCAATTTAGTCGTAAATGGTAGTACCTGAGGCTATTCAAGCGGTGTAATGGCCATTACCATGCAACATTTTAAGGGTATCCGTTGAAATACGGTAATTTTCTGTTTTATCTTTAAATGCATTATTTCTCTAC